GTATAAATATTTCAGAATGTGCTTATTATTTATAGGTGCATTATTTTGTCATATAAATGTTTCGGAAAGCATTAAAGAGGATTTTAGATTTAATTATATTCAGTTGCATTATTCAGATCCTGAATAAATGATAAGTGAATACTTCATAAAATAGGTGCTGTGTTCTTAAAAGTTTGAGAGTTTGTAACATATAATGGGAACTAAGGAAAGGTTTCAGTTACCACTGCATTACAAATATAGATTTTTTTGACATGTAAATGTGATTTCAGGTACTATATAATATATGAAAAAAGAAGGTAATGATGATTTGATTTGAGTTTTAGTTTTGAATATGTCTGTCGAAGTGCATGTGCTAAAGGGATGTCATTTTATTTTTTGAGAATGTATGTTTTACTTTGCATTTGATTAGCAGAGTATTCCAAAAATATTTTTTGTGAAGAGATCTGTTCTTTGCTTCAGTTATTAAACATTGAATATTCATCAACAGTAAAAGGACAAGCACAGTTTATATTTACTCAATTATTTCTCAAGAGAAATAGTATTTTAAAATTTATCCCCCACCCCAATTATAAATCATTATAATATATGAATGTAAATCGAAGTGTAATGGATTCTGAATTTTATGTAACTGTGATTATTTTCATGATCATAGATTTCATTGCTTCATATTCCTTATCAAAAATACTGAATGATATTAACATGAAATATTTTTGGATAATTGTAAAAATATGAGATGTTCTACTGTTGTTATGATGTACAAGTATGTAAAAAAAAAAAAAAATAACTGACTTGTATACTATTCATACTGAGTTCTATTTTTAGCTTATTCCTTCAGATATGAATGTGGCTTAAGAGATGCCTTTTATGTTTTATATATTTGGAAATAAAAATATTGATTCCTGGTATAACACTGTGAATTCCTGCTGTGAAACAAGTTGTATGGTAATAAGATGGTTACTGGTACCATTTTCTTCTAGTTTTACTTGAAAACAAAAGGATACTTGAATGAGTATCAAATGGCTTTATGATTGTCAAAAGTTTTATTTCATTTGAATTCGAAGAAGGGCCTTCCATAGGCTAAGCTGGTGCAGTTTCCTTTTTTTCTGATTTCTAGTAATAAATTTTAATATTGCTTTTCACATATTTATGTTTACATTGAGTAAAGTGGGAAAATTTGGTCTCCTAATCTGATCATAACCTTGGTAATATAAATGATATCAAGGTTAGTCTTCGAGATCTCGGAGAACTAGGTTACTAATTTCAACTGAACTTCTCTCTACTGTTATAGTTAAGAAATGTAAAATGCATTTAATACGATAAACAGTGTAAGTTCATTACCTAGTAAAGATATGGTGGCTAAGTATTAACTTGAACATCTGTCAGCCTGTTTGTCCACTGAAAAGGAGTAATAATCAGGTTTAGAATATCTACTTCAAGCATTTTAAGTATAGAACTTAACATGTTCATTAGATCTGGGTAGGATACAACAATGCTTGAATTAAGAGAAGGGAATTTCATTACCATAAAAGAAGTCAAGAGTTCATGATGATGATGTTAAAGACTTCTAAGAATATTAGATTTGAGTAAACAGATAATACATGTATATCAGGAAGACTAGAGAGACTGTTTATTTAAGAATTTAAAGATTAGTTTTGATGAATGAAGAGGTGAATAAAAATTACATGAAGTAAAAAACAAATCAAAAATGGAATCGGACTGACCAGAGTTTTGCAGTTAGCTTTAAAATACTCATCTGGCTACTTGCAAATGCACTTATCCCTGGACAATAAGTAATTCACACATGATTTTCATTACAATTTATCTAGCTTTTTATAAAATCCAGCTTACAAACAAACCAGTTTACCAATAGACATATAAAAACAAAGTGATTGGGTAAACTGGAGATAAAAAGAATCGGATATATGTGCATAAGAGAATATGTAAATGGAAAGTTATTTCATTCAGTATTTATACAGTATCCTTAGATCAAGGGCATCATTTTAGCTTTTTCTTGGAATTAGCAGGGTTGGTAAGCAAAATGAACACAAATAGTTTCTGGAATGCAGTGTGGTCATTTGAAATATGAGGACATATTTTTTAAGCTTTGACCAGAGCTATAAAGGTGTAATTTAAGCAAAAAAAGAATTGTGGGAATGTGGCCCCTTAGGGGGAAGCCAGACCTTGAGGGGGGCAATTTGAGTCTTGGATGGGGCAATTGCCATCCCCAGCCCCCGACCCAAGTGATGGCCCTTCTTTGGACCTTTATCCCTTAAATTTCATATCTATCAGAGCAAGCTGGTCTGGTCAGAGTTTCCTGAAACTCTAATAGAAAGACTGGGATTATTCAGTTCAGAGGATTAGATCAGTCAAAAAAATATCTCTCGTGCCAGGAATGATCTGACATGTGGATGGTAAAACAACTACACGCTATTAAATTTCCCTCTCTCTCTCTCTCTTACACTCTCTCTCTCTCTCTCTCTCTCTCTCTCTCTCTCTCTCT